GCTTTCCACCATTCACTAACCGCACAGCATCACCGAAAGATTGGGAAAAACAGCGGAAACACGGAGGTCAAGCTAACAACTAATTTAAATTAAGTTTCAAATATCAAACCTTAAAAATTTATAAATTTAATTTTTAATTTTATAATTTTATTATAATAAATTTATAATTTATATTTTAAATTTTAATTAAAAAATAAATTTTTTTAACTACGTTAAAATTTAAAAAATAAGTAATAAATCATCTCAACAAATTCATAAAATTAAAAATTAAATTTATAAATATTTAAAGTTTGGTATTTAAAAGTTGATTTGAATTAATTAATTTTCTTAAGATTCATATGTTATTTTTACTCGGGAGAAACTTATGAAAAAATTCTTTGATTATTACATACATGGCTTTGATAGGATATTAACTAACCCCCCCCCCCAAAGTTAAAGTATATTTTTTATGTAGTTAACTAAGGCTTTGATAGGATATATTTTTATATTTTTTAATATTTAAAAGTTAAAAGTAAAAATTTCTTGGGATGAAACTAACAATATCAAGATTAAATGATTAAAAATATATTTTATAAAATTAAGAGATCAAAATAAAATCTCATACCAAATTAAAAGACTAAATGTGTATTTTAACTTTTTTTAATATTATCTCTATTTAAATTTATTAATTATGAATGAGAATGTAGTACAAATTTTTTTCATTTAAATAGATGTAAAATTAATATTTTATTTTATTTTTTAAAAAAGTTAATAATTTAACTATTTTTTATTGATTCTAGTGAGATAATTAAAGATGTCTTCTAATAGAAGCTAAAAAAAGTGTTTACTTATTGAAAACATTAATGGGTACTCATGTATCATTATTAGCTTAAATAATGGGTACCCATACATTATTTTAAACTTAAAGATATCATAAATTTTTAGAAAAAAAAATGTATATTTTTGTACTTTATATTTGCTTCCTTTTATTTAATGATCAACATCAACTAATGTTAGGCAAATTTAGTAGGATGGAGAATGATGTCCTTACTAAAAAAAATTCATGAATATTTATGAATCATAGTTGATTTAAGGATATTGGACTCTGACAATTTTTTTTTGTGAAATATTTATATCCTTTAACCTAATTTTTTTATTTTTTATTGTATGCTTTAAATTCAATGTTCTTTTGCCTATAAAACCGTTAATCATGTATGAAACTGTTAAGCGTGAGATGACAGACAATTGGGCAAAACTTATCGACATAGATTAGGCATCCAATTAGAAAATTAAAGCCACGTCTGAAAAAGAAACAGAGCTACAGAACTTACCAGCTCTTTCAAATTAAGCAATTATTTAAAAAAAAATTATAGCAGTGTTATGTTATATGGAAAAAAAATAACAATTTCTTAAATGGGCCAACTAAAATGCTGTCAAATATACGAATCCATGCGTGCTATCTAAACAACTCGATTTTACGTAACCCTGGGCGCCACACTTCTGAGGCAATAGAAACACATAAATCTACTTTGCATCTCAGAACAAAAATGGCAACAAATTTAAGATATGTTTGATTTTTGTTCTCATTTTTTAAAAAAAATGTTTTGAGATACAGTTTTCAAAATTAATTTTTTAAAATAAAATAAAATAAAAATTTGTTTAGTTATATTAAGTTAAAAATAATTTTAGAATTAAAAAATAGACTAATAATGATAGTTATAAATTTATAATCGATTCATAACAGTGATTTATGATAAAAACTGATTAAAATAATTATAGTTTTTAATTATTAAATGTAGTTAATTTTAAAAATGAGAAAAATAAAATAAAAATAATTTGATGTTGTTTCAATTTTTAAAAAAAAAACAAATAATTAAAAACAGTTTTTGAAAACAATGAAATTCAAAATACTTATCTAAATAAATTTTTAAATTTTTTTTAAAAATAAACAATAATTTTTAAAAACTAAAAATAAACAGCTTTTGGAACTGTTTGGTTTCTGTTCTCATTTTTATTTTTAAAAACTGTATTATAATGCAATTTTTAAAATTGTTTTTAAAACAAAATAAAATGAAAATTTATTTGATTATGTCAATTAAAAAACAGTTTTAGAATTAAAAAATAGATTGATAATAATGGTTATAGATAGTTAATGGTGGTGATTAATAATAAAAATTGATCAAGATAATTATAATTTTCAATAATCAAATTGAGTATATTTTATTTTTATTTTTAAAAATAAAAATAGATATAGTTTTAAAAGAAATTAAATAAAAATACTTATCCAAATAAATTTTTAAATTTTTCTAGTTTTAAAAAAAATAATTTTTAAAAATAGGAAACAAATAGACCTTTTACATTTCATTCTTCTAGTTTCGAATCATAAAATATTGGCAAAATTAAATCCATGAAAATTTGGATTCAAGCAAAGGAGGATCCTCCGGTAGTGACAAAATTAAGACGGCATGCAGGGTCATTGCCTCCCATTCTTTAAAAGGAAAATGACATTAAAAATGATCTTGAAGTACACAGATGATAATGAGATTATGTGAAATATGATAATTCTTGTAAAGCACTTTTGAAACCTTTTTGACATTAATATATTTTATGAAATGACAATAAAGTCTCCAATTCAAAATAAAAAATGAATAAATAGATCAGTGATTAAAAAAAATTGTAGAGAGAAACTTGTTATTTTCTATCTCGTTCCAATCATTGACAAAAAAAAAGGCCATTATTTAAATTAAAGTAATAAGTGATAGGGAAAATGTTATTCAAGGACCACTAAGAAGACTTAATATCAATTAATGTCCAAAATATTTTGATTTATAATTGCAGGACCAAGAGATTGAAATATAATTAAAATTTATGGTGAAAAGACAAAATTATTCCGAGGAGCTTCACTTCTAAAAGGACAATTAGTTTAAATTAATTTTTCAAAGCAATCAAGGGGAGATTTGATTTCATGACTCCCTGACCACCTAAAAAATTTAGTAGCCACCAAGTTACAAAACTCATTTAAACTTATATGGTGAAAAAATATATGTCTAGCAAACTAAACTTTTAAACCACTTTTATATTATAATATAATGATGTGTTATTAATATTTGAATGACATTTGTTATTTTACTAATGTTATTAGTTAGTATGATATGATTAATTACAAATTGAGAGTTTTAAAAATTCATGTATGTTGCAAGTTATCATTTGTTAATTGACACTTAAATGTCATTAAAATAACATGTTCACATAAGTAATAAATTTAGTCCCAAACTACTTGTTTCTTATAACATAGAGGTGTGTTATTAATTCCAAATTTATTTTTTTTATCTTGTTAAAACTTAAATGAGTTGTTGTCAAAACTCGAATAATACTTATTAATACATCAAACAACACTTGTTATTTTATTAATATTACTTCTGTTGTTATTTGTTGATCATGAATGGATTGTTGTCAAAACCTGAATAGCTTGTTGTTTATACAAGGTGCACACTTGTTCCATTAAACATGCGCTATCTGTCATCAATAACAATTATCTATTCAGGTTTCGAAAAAAAATTCGTTTGAAATTAAAAACAATCCATTTAGGCTTTAATAAGTTAAAAAAACTAATAAAATGGGCTTAATTGTATAAGTATTAGTCCTTTATCAATAAGTATTCATTCAGATTTTAATAACAATTCATTTAAAATTAACAACAATTTATTCAGGCCTTAACAAGTTAAAAAAATTGATAGCTTAGGTCTAATAAAATGAGTATTTACCTTGCATAAATAATAAACTTGGGTTACCACATTTTTTAGGGTTATATATGATTAAATGGGTTTAGTGGCTTCTGGCCGAAGCTCTAACTGCCATTGGTGGTGTTTTAGTGTATGGTGACAATGGTTTTTTTAATTTTAATTGCATTTTAGTCCCCTGGTTCTACATTAATATTTTATAATCTTTTAGTTCTTAATTGATATTAAATTTTCTCAATAGTTCTTGAATGATATTTTCTCTTATTGATATTTACAACACTTAAACTTAGTGATTAAAAAACTATAAATGAAAAGTTATAATTATTTATTCCATTTTAATCATTATTAGAAAAAAAGTAATAATCATTTAAACAAAAGTAGTCATTAGTATTTACAATACTTGAACTTTAATGATTACAAATTTTGTAGAGCAAAACTTGTCATTTGCTATCTCGTTTTAGTTATTACCAAAAATAGATAGTTATTACTTAAATTGATAACTAATATTTTAAATTAAGATTATTACAGTTATTTCACAAAAGAAATTAATATCACCAAGGTTTTAATAAACTTGAGAAGAATTATTACATTGGATAGGACCTTCTTGTTATTTACATATTTTATGAGAATTTTTCTTTCATTTTTCCTTTTTGAAGTATTCTTTAAAATATTTTTTTTTAAAAAAAAGAATGTTGAAATCAATTTTAGCCTCGACTTTTAAATTAATTTATAGTTCTGCCCCTCTGATGATTTTTGGATTGGGAGAATGACATTTAAAGTCCTTTTAAGGAAATTTATCCTAATAAAGACCCATCAGCTTTCGTAAGATAATATCTAATATTGGCGTTATTGCAATTTTTTTTTTTTTAGAGATCTTAAATATCATCCTCCCTTCTGGTCCCATTCATGATCCACCCAGAAATGCAAGTGAGTGCTCGCCGGACTGCTTTCAGCGTAGGCATGGAGCTGTCAGCCCAGCATTCACGACAGCGTTTAAGTTATTATCTAACATTTTTAAAATTGTTTTTCAAATACTTTATAATTACAAAAAAATTATTATATAACATTTTAAGGTTATAGAATTATTTTAAAAATATTAATTATGATACATATTAAAAAGATAAATTAATTATAAATATTATTTTTCAAAACGCCCCACACTTGATAAGCTCGTTACGCCCCTGCCCATATCCAGAGAGATAGAGCCTGCAAATTTCCCCTTTAAAAAAGGTGCATGGTGATTGGTGCACAGTTGTGACACTAAGCTACTGGCTTGTAAGAACTATGTTTGAAATCTTTGATAAATAATATCTATACAATGCAAAACTTTACATGTATTGGCCACCAAAAAGTACTTCCATAATTCTAGAAAATTGATCACTGAGGAAGACCAAGGCTGGATCCCTTAAGTGACTTTTACGTGAGGAAGGAGGACAGTGAAATGGTGGATCCTACTTCTAATCATGCAAGTCCCACAAAAACAGAGCTATCTCTTCATCAATTCTCTCTCTCTCTCACAACTTAAAGCATCACTTTATGAGATCCAAATCTGAGGAAAACCACACTGGACAAAAGAAATAAATCTCAGTATCACATTCCAAACCAATCATCTTGAACAGAGTTTTGGTAAGTATCTTGAGTTGTTCATGATATGACATCCAGACTTCATTACGCTTTGCATTACATGCAAATCCCCCTCAGGCTTCAACTCATCGCCATCGTCTGCAGTTCTTGTTTCAGAATCCTCTTTAGCATCTGTGTTCTTAAAGCTTTTACGAAACAGTGAGTCAAGAAAGTATTTCAGATGATCATTCTCTTGGAGCAAGTTTTTTATTCTGCTTTGTGTATGAGCATGACTTTGGTCAAGTGGAAAAGTTTAGATATTTGGTCAAGTGGAAAAGTTTAGATATTTGGGAGCCATTATCCAAAATGATGGCGAAATCAGTGGAGATATTTCACATAGAATTCAAGCTGGGTGGTTTAATTGGAGAAAAGCTAAAGGAGTTATTTGTGACCGTAAGGTGCCTAATAAACTTAAAGGAAAGTTTTATCGTACTGCTATCAGACCGGCAATGTTATATAGTAGTGAATGCTGGGCTCTAACGGGACAGCAAGAGCATAAAGTTGGAGTAGCAGAGATGAGAATGTTACGATGGATGTGCGGACATACACGTAAAGATAAAATTCGAAATGAGCACATACGTGAAAAAGTGAGGGTGGCACCTATTGAGGAAAAAATGGTAGAAAATCGGTTGAGATGGTTTGGGCATGTACAAAGAAGGCCAAGGGAGGCACCAGTGAGAAGAGTGGAACATATAACTTTGAGTCCGATTAAGAGAGGTAGAGGAAGGCCTAAGAGAACACTCTTGGAAGTTGTTGAACGTGATCTCTTAATTAATAATATTTCTAAAAGCTTAATAAATGATAGAGCACAATGGCGTCTTGCAATCCATGTAGCCGACCCCACCTAGTGGGATAAAGGCTTGTTGTTGTTGTTGTTGTTGTTGTGTATGAGCATGACTTCTGGGTTTTGCTTGTGCAGGAAATACCAAGTTTCTTGTAAGATTCCTCAAAAGTTCAGCTGACAGCTTCTCATGATTCAGTGCACAGCAGATACTAATCTTTTCCTTTTCAGTTAGCCCTGCGTGAACCTGTGGATATGCGCGCGTGTGTCAATGAAATCCTCAAATATGAAAGAAAATTGATAAACAACTAGAGTAACAAGGCAAGCTTTCCCATATACTGTGCGGAGTCTAAAATTAGGTCCCACTCAAGATAATTAATTACTCACAGCTCCATTGACAATTAAACTTAGAAGAATGACAATACAATGAACCTGGGGTTAATTAATTGTCTTAAGTAGGACTCATGCATAATTCTTCCAAAAATAAATTATATTATTCATGACTTATAAATAATACGACTTGATATAAATTTTATCATATATATTAATATTGATATCTAACGAATAGTTAGAGGCTTTAAAGCGCTCACTCCCTAAAAGAAATTTTCTAGCACGCTGGATTATTCATCAAATATAAAGGAAATCAAGTTGATCGAGAAGATACTTATTAGTTAGAAATGAGCTAACTATGTTGAAGAGTGCATGTCATATCTATATATTTCTTCAGTTTGATGTGATCTATTTGTCTTTGGTAGACTAAATCTACCTAAAATATTTTCAAATAGACAAGATTTAGGTTTAATTCCAAATGAATTTATCAAAAATTGTCCAATGAAAACATAACATATGACCAATCAACTAATTAAACATTAAACAAAATATTCACAAGTGATGATTCTATTGCAACTGGTTTCATTCCCATTATAGAAAACAGTATTGCAGAATGGAAATTAGTAAAGACAACAAAACAATTTTAAAAAAAAATTACCCCTAACCTAGCCCTTTCCTTAGGGAAGAGAGACACAAACACTCACGCATGCACACTAACCATGTCAACACCAGGTTTGAACTTAGGACCTCTTTCAAGAGAGGGAGGTAGTGTTGCCGCTAGGATAATTGACTGTTGACAAAACAATTTTTTTTTTTTAATATACATGGATGTATATATGGATAACATGTTGACTCTTTATAAACCAAGCAAATTAAAATAAGTTTACCTTCAGATAAATGTCCATGGCTAGGTATAACAGATCATGAGATTCTCTTGCAGCATCTGGGAGAACTGTAATTAATTCTGCAAATTCAGATGGCTGGAGATGGCAATCCGGAGAAACTTCAATCAGAAATGAGTCCATTGTTTTCGCCACTCTCTTAAGTCTAGCCAAAGATATCCCAAAATCGCCTTCGTTGACAAATACTTGTGCAAGCCTCAGTACAAAATCGACATCAAATGCATGCTTCCTCTCTTTTGGAGGTGGAAGAAGCAGATAATCAATTGCTACTTGATCCAGAAAGGGACCTATAAGACTTAATATTTTGTTTTTGCAGCATGAACTAATTATTCTCAATTTGACACCGACATGATAGAGACTGAACAAGTCTTTGAAAGAAAAGGACCTCTTATCAAGCAATGAAAGCAGATTGATCACAACCTCAGTTGTCTCAGCACTCTCCATCTTTGACTTTGATTTTACAGCACCAATACAACTTAATTTGTGGTAATGAAACAAAAACTTAGAGACTAGAGCATGATCAAAATCATGAGAAATCATTGACCTTACTATCTTGTCAATCAAATCAACCTTCAAGAATAGAAGATGTTCGAACCACCAAGAAGGCCCAGAGCAGTTATTTCTCCAGCTGTTGTTACTGCTAGTTTCACATGAAAACTGGAAACTAGATCTATTAGAAGAACATGTATATGGGCTTGAAGTGCTTGGCAAAATCACAAGCCTCTCTATAAGGTGATCTACAATTCTGTCCAGAATTGTGAAGTAACTTTTTGAAGAAATTGAGTACTCTTGGCACTGTCTTAATGCTTCAAGGAGCTCAAACCAAGTCCATAAATGAATCCCTTCTTCAAGGAATTTTTCAATTTGGGATATCACATTTGATGTTCCAGAAGGACCATCACAGTGCATTTCCATGAAATGAGCAGCACAATAAAGCAGGACTATGTTGGAAGGTGTAATCACCATTTTTGTGCCACTGTAGCAAAACCGTACAATGAGCTCAAAACCATGTGCTCCTCCTGGAAAGTCATTGAAGATAACTTTAAGGACTTCATTTTTACCCATGAAATTACCAAATAAGTTGCTACATAAACTGGAGAAGGAAGAAAGAATATTCTGCAAAGTGTTTCATATGAAGGTTAGATAGCCAGAAAAAGCACTCTACCAGCAAAAAACAAAAAACCAAAAAAAAACAAAAAAACAAAAAACAGAGTTTCTGTAACAAAGAAAGCAAGAAGAGCTTCGGAGTGTTAAAGAAACATGTGGCAGATAGCTTACTTCAACGGAATATTGAAATTAGCAATAAAACCATATCAAGAAAGAAGCAATCTAAGCAATCTTAAACTCTCTTCACCATAGAAATAGGTGCAAACAGGAAAAACGAATTCATCAAAATGGCTGTGCCAACAGATCTCACTGTCTAAAATACTAACTTCGATGAGATTCATTGGTTTTGTAATCTGTACACCTATTTCAGATGCAATGAACGTACCTAAGAATTTCTTCTGCAAGAAGACCTTGACAAAAAGGAACTAATAAGACTAACAAACTTTGGGTGGTCGTCAAGTTAGAAAGAAGAACAAGCAAGCAACGACAGTCAATTTCAGTAATCAATGTTGAAACTAAGTGAGAAAATGAACTATTTCATTAACTCGGAGAAAAGAACAAACACCCACAAGGCATTCTATTCAAGAAACGACGATGTCCATGAAAAAACAGAAGAATAATCACCTTGTTCACCATGAAAGTTGCTTCACCGTTGACGTCTACTTCGAGGTCGCAGCAAGCTCCCATTGGTTAAAATAGCACGAATGAGGCTATAGAAGCATGAAATCAGAATCAGAACTGAGAAGAAAAGAAGGCTTTGAAGCTTCGAAGAAAGTCTGTGACATGTGAATGACCGAACCAGAAGAGGAAAGTGGAGATATACATGAAAAAGGGGTCATCAATTACGAACGGAGCATGAGGAGAATGATGGAACTAGAAAGTTGAGTTTTTGGTCAGTCAACAAAATAAGCGTGATAGTTTCTAAAGAAAGAGAGAATTGCGGGTAATAAAACTAACATGGGATTTACATTTTTTTCAAATAAGATTGAAACACTAAAAAAAAAATATTTATTTGAAAGAATTAATTTCATAAATGTCATAAAGCCAATAGTAGAATTCACACACACACACAGTGGATAAGTAAATGATAAATTTTGTTTTTATGAATATAAGTTTTACATGTGAGCATCAAGCTTTCTAAGATATTTAATAGATAGATAAAAGCTAAATTAATAAAAATAAAGTATCATGTTAATTAGTCCATAAAAATATTGATATTGCCAATTTTTTGGCAATACTATTCCTATAATCATCAATTTTATATTTCAAAGGCTAGACTAATTATACCAATTGAAACTTTAAAACATTATATGTGTTAATTGTGTCTTGCACTACTATGTGTCAAAGATATAGTGGATTCATTTTAAGACAGGTTAATGTCTCTCTGTTTTTCACTATACAATATTTCTCTTTTAAATATCCAGCACTTATTGAAATAAAGTTAAATTAGAATCAATTTGCTTTTACTAGTTAAAAAGAATAGACTGTTTTTATTAATTAAAATTGGATCTAATAATAGGGATTAATCATTCACCACGCCATGAACTAATTCTCAAATTTCACTGAAAAATGCCTATAATTTGTACCTAACATGTCTTAAAATTTCTTTCAATATGAAGACATAAATGTACAATCGATAAAAACAAAAGAATGGACTACTTTTTGCAATGCAATGAATATTTAGAATTAAAACTTTTTAAAAGAGAAATAGAACTTAAAGTTAAGATACTTAATAAAATAAAAAAGTATTATCTAATATAAAATTTATAGTAGATAATATAAAGTTGTACTCCTTCTAGTTCTATTTAAAGGTAGAGAAAGAAAATTTTTTTATCCTATTTATAAGTTTTGTCATTAAATTTTTATCATATTTTTTTTTACCTTTCATTGAATGTTGGAGAGAGAAAATATATATTATTGAAGTGTGTATAGTTAATAGGGGTAAAGTTGAAAATTTATTAAATTTTAAGACAGAATTAATAAATTTTATAATTTTTCTTAATATTGATAAAACATGTTAGAAGTGATTTATAAATAGAACTAGAAAAATATTATTGATAAATAATATAGTGAAATTTAGTTCATTTTTATATTTTGTTTGTTGCATGGGAAACATGATTTTATATAATAAATTTTTTAATGAATGGATTATATCATTTATAAGTTGTGCATCATTTCTTAGATTTATTTTATTGAAATTCACAGGCAAGAGGTGTATAGAAACAATAAAATGTTAAATTTTAATAATTTTCCATTGTTCGACAGAAAGTAATTTATTAATGAAATATTAATTCAACTCTCGCCCTACCCCGGCGTTGGAAAACAACCCCTAGAAAAATAGAATAGAAAAAGAAAGAAAAGAAAAGGCAAATGTGAAAGTTAAGGAAAAAGAGGAGAGACTAACCCTGAAAGTGTGAACCAATATTTTGAGAACCAGAATCAACCGAAATAGTTGGACTAGTTGAACTGTCACGTGGTGAAGAAAATGGTTTAATTAAATTAGTAGTTAGTTTGGGTTAACTCACTATAACCTGAAAAACTTGGCAAAAATTCAGAATCTAAAATAGTTGAAATTTTTTTTCTTTTTACTCTTATTTTAATAATAAAATGTTTATTCAATTTAAGCATATTAATGTCAACTTACTTATTTCCTTTAACAGAACAAATAAGGTAAATTATATATATGTATGAAAAAAAGAAAAAATTAAAATTTAATATGTGACTAAATAACTTTCAATCGGGAATGATATTGTAAATATTTGAATTATTTTTTATATATATGTATAAATATTATTTTATTTAATTATTAGATCATTAATTTGATGACTAATTTAACCATAAAAACATAAAAATTATGACTCATTAATTTTTCTAGTTTATTATTTGGATTGGTTTTTAAAATAAAGAAAATTATTTTAAAATCTCACTCAGTATCATTAATTACTTCCAAATTTATTAATAATTAAATTTGAAAAAATGACAACATAATATATGTAATTAATTGTTTTAAACGGGATTTGTGTATACTTTTTCTTGTAAAATATTGGTGGGAACAGAGTCCAGCAAATCCGAGATGCGCAAAGCTCAAAATGGGATTAGGCTTAACTGAATTACCTTTTTCCCGTTACTCATGCCGCCATTTTCTACTGCTCCTTTTCCAACTTGTTTGACTCCTCATTCCACGCTTTAACGTAAACAATCCCAATAAAAATGAAAATGAATAAGTTTGCTTACTGAAAAGAAATATAATTAAATGAATTTAAAAAATAAAAGTAAAAATATGATAATTAAAGAGGATATGTAAACACATTTATAGAGTGAGGGGTAATTTAATTTATAAAATTAAGAATCATAATTCATGAAATTTTTTGAAGGAAGAAATGATTCTCATATTTATAGTATATATTAATGAATTTCATCATACATATTATGATAAAAAGGATGATTTAGTTTATATTTGTCTGGATTTTTTCAATCCATTTCATTCCATTAATCTTAAGTCTCGTTTGGTTATTAAAAAAAATGAAATAAAATGTATTAAAAAAATAAAAAATAATAATATGATCAAAAAGAATAGATGACCATGTTCATAAGCTAAATGAATAATTTAATTCATAAGATTGAAAAATTATATTTTATGAGATTTATGAAGAATGTGATGATTTTTATATTTATATATATATTGATGAACTTTATCATATTTATCATATTAAGAAAATGTAATTTAGTATATGTTTATTTTAATTTTTTTAATCAATTTCATTTTATTTTTTAATAATCAAATGAGGCTTTAGAGTAATCATGCAAAAAACTTTATTGAAGAAGAAATTCATAATAGAAAATTGATGAGATGAAACTAATACAAACGAAATTCAAATAAATTTAAAACTTTACCGGAGAAATTTAGATTTAAATAGAAATTAAAATGTGTGAGAAAATGATTGAAATAATTTTTTTAAGTTAAAAGATTTACTTTACATGTTAATTGAAGTAGCCCAAAATGTAAACACTCATCGAGAATCTCTTATAATTTCAGTTGAAGAAAAGTAAAAGTTTTAAGATGACCTTTATGATAAAAAAAAAAAAAAGAGAGAAGTAAATTGGTATCTTTGTGGACATGTGCTTGCGACTCGTGAAAATTGCAATGGGAAGTGATGATATCATTTTCCAGAACATTCGTGATGAAATCAAAAAATTGGTGGAAACATAATTTGTGTCTCTAAACTTTATTAATTTTTATAATGATAAATTGATCAATTTTATTTTTTAACATAAATTTCAATTAGAGAAAACATTTTAAAATGTTTAACTTAACAGAATATTCTTAATTTTTTATTTTTATATTTCTAAAATTAATTTTTAATATAAAATGATAAATGGCAGTGAACAAATCGGGGAAAAGAGATGACCAAAAAAGGGCCGGGGGGAAGAAAAGAGAGAAATGGACTTCGCCCAAGAGCAAGAAGAATCATTGAATGTCCCAAAAGAGAAAAAAAAAAAAAAAAGGGAAAGGCTGAGAAGCACGAGCGAAGAACAACTGAGAGCACAAGCTGAAGAGCAGGGCCGCCACAGGTGATCTTACCCTTCCTGTCGGCCACCTTTTTCGTGCTGTTCCGTTTGATCGCAGAAAGTTAAAGGTGTGGATGGTTCCGATTCTTATTCTTTCTGGTTAATCAAAGCTGTGTCCCCTTTAATATTATCATTTGGTTCTTGACTTCGGGTAACTTCCGTTGGGTTGGCTTGGAAGTTGCGTTTAATCTCTAGTGTGGGGTTTAAGTTAAAAATACTCGCATGTTCAATCTGGCTTTGCATTTGTTCCCCGCATCATCTGTTCCCTGCGTGGTTGTTCTTGCTTTGTTTGGAATTTTTCATTTTACTTTGGCTTTGAATTTGGTCGTGTAATCATTTGAATTTTGACGCTTTTGAATTTGGTATTATTTACAGATTGAGTTTAATTTCTGCCCTCTTCATTTTTATTCTGTGTTGGATTCGTTGTGTATTTGCATTCTGTTTATTAATCTCTTTATATTATCATCAATTTAGAAAATTCTCAAGGTATTTGTGATGTATGATCTTGTAAATGACTTGGCTTGAGTTGTTTCAAAGTATAAAGGGTATCATATCAACTATGCATATCTCAAAGATTTCAGTGGGCGCAGATGTCCCCACTGAGTGTAATATAGGTCTGCCTATGTTCTACATATAAGTAATGGTATTAAGAAGTGAGAAACTATATGTGAGTTTGTTTGATGTTAATAAATACTAGGGAGAATGGTAGTGAGGGCCCCAATAAGAGGGGGGGGAAACAGTGAGGCCCCGAACAATCGAAGGTTCATCTATACATAATTAAAAGTTTATCGATTGACTTGTATATATATATATATATGAGCTTTCAGTTGTTCAGGGCCTTCATTGCTTTTTTTCCTCCGCTGGGAGCCTCACTGCCATTCTCCTTAAATACTAAGTGCTGTATTTCATGTGTTAAATTTGAGGTTTTCTACATCTTCCCAGGACTTCTTTTAAAAATTCACAAAATCTTCCAGGAGGACGTAAGTGATATTTCTAGGGTCTCTGGCGAAAACACACCAGCCAACTTCTGAACTTAGTTTCTTTTTTGTTTTTTGTTTTTTATGGTTAACCTTGATTTCATTATTTCTTTTGCTGAACATATTATCCAAGTTCTGCACCCATTATAGATGAGGTGGCTAAGATTTCAGCTCTTTCTAATTTACCTTGTGATTGTACCTGGGTCTTGGGAGCAAAGCAGGACAATCAAGGTTTGGGTTAAATGGCTTAATGATTTTAGTGACATTTGACCATGAGCTTAGTAAAATTGGTGAAATACTATACACTAGAGTGCATGGTTGGTAGATGCAAA